GGAGGAGTAATCGATCCAAGTAAATGGCCTCCACTTCGCTTCACTCGCTGCCTTGCAGTTAGGTTCTTGTTGAAACTAAAGGCTTCGGACGAGAACCCTAATCGCTCTCCTGCTTAGTGGCTGGACACCCTAGCAGTACCCGTCCATCAAACCTTTGGCAGAGATCAGTGAAGTTCGCCTCACTGTGTTTCGCTGTACGACGATGATGATGACTTGAGCGACAGAAATAAAATACAAAAGATAGCAACAAATGCACTGCATTTTTCAAACGAGGAGCAGCTGGAGGATGAGCGAGAACAAGTTGTCAATTATGTACACCTTTACAACTTTGATTATTCCCGATTGGTGAAAGAAACAATAAGCACAAAGGCAAGAAAATGAACAGAAAGATTCAGGCAGATGGCACAGATAAGGGGGTTGTCAGTAATGCACTTGTGGCACATCTAACGATTGAATCCGTTCGCCCAGAGATTGAAATTCAAATGAACAGAATCTAAGTTAGGCTACTGAAATCTTATCCGGTGGCATATGTCCTGAATTACCTAGCCAACGTAAGGCCACACGCCCATTCGGACGAATCACAATCCACGTGATACTTCCATGATCCAGGGAGAAACGTATCCAGGCTTCCGGGGGAATTTGAAGAGCACGACAAACAATGTAACGAATAACATTTGCATGACACACAAATATCTCGTAACTGTCCGTGGTCTGGTTTGGAGCCGGTCGATGTACGAATGTCCGAAAGGCTTTTTCAATTCGACTACCATCTTCTCGCAGTTCATCCTCGGTAGGTTTGTAATTTTCTAAAGGGGGTTCCAGAGGAAATGGGGCACCTTCACGGAGACTGTCCGTAGGCTCTACAGGAACATCCGGCAAGTGTCGCATTATTTCCTCCGTCGATTCGATTGCTCGTGTCATGGTGGAATAGTACAGAATATTGTAAGGTAGATTCAATTGTTTCAAGCGAGCGCCGGTGAAATTGAGCTGTTCACGACCCAGTTGAGTCAGACGACAATCTTTATCGGATTCCGCATAATGATACTGGCCATGACGAATGAACAATAAATGTCGACTACCAGTGGCTTTGGAAGAACNGGAAGAACCTTTACGCTCTCCCCAAGAGAACAGACGGGACGAATTGTCACCGTCCACTTGTGATTCTCGATTGTCCCAATTCCAATCCCAAGGTTTGATATTGTCACGTGGGTAGGCGGAATCTGCTTGAACCGTGGTCAACCCGGGGATCAAATCAAGAAACTTTTTGGTCCATGTGAAAATTGGACGCTGCTGTGACTCTTGGACATGGGATGTGGACGGTAAGCTGCGTGGGGCATCAAAGAGTGATCGTGTTTCCAAGAATGTGGCAGCCGCGACTAATCCGCCGGAGACAAGTTTGAAAATCCTACGTGTATTCATTCTTTATTTCAATCTACAAAAAACGAAAAACAAAATTTGCAACCGTATTCCAATACAAAACGTTATGTGCAAATATGAAACGTTATGAATTACCAATGTTATCAGATAGAGAGCAGAAAAAATGACTTATACCTCAAATTGCTCATTCATACGTGCGCATTAGTCGGCTTCATGTGTGAATCTGGAAAACTTCTTCTATTCGACTGTACTTTCAATCTTCGTACCCTTCTCCTACTGTTCATTCAAATGAGCAGCCAAAAGAAGGCAACTAAAAACGGAGCACGAAAGTACAGCATAATCCAGGTTGCACAGACTTTCTCCAGTTGCCCATTCAGTACCTACATTTTGGAAACCACTTAGTGTGTTCTCCAGTATTTCATCTATGACGAATTGAACAGAAATGGCGCAATTGGGCACCCTCGACGAGCACCGCTGCTAAGTACGAACGGCTTACTCAGCTCGTCGTAAACTCTCATGCTACGAGAAGTATCTCAGTACAGTGATCGCAATATGTTTACATACTTCAGCGGTATTCCTTTGCAAAGGGTACCCATTAGGACTTCGTGGTCAACTGGGTAGAGGGCTTCTTTTAAGTCAAGGAACACCGCTATCATTGGTCGATGATGTGTATGGCGAAACTCGAGGTCTTGACGAGACGTGGAGTTGTTCAATACAACTGCACCCTGGTTGAAATCCTGCTTGCTGTTCACGGATATTCGTTTCCCGTAAGGTCTTCAGACGTTGAGGTATACCGGCGGCTAGTACTTTGGTAACGATTGGAATCAAAGTGATCTCGCGGTTGTGCGCTCAGTCAAGACGAGATCTCTTCTTGGAAATCAAAACGATCAGTGACACACGCCAAGATAATGGAATGCCCTCTTACGAACAGATTTCATGTAATAAATTAGTACTGGAGTCTCTGACTGTATCAATCCCATTCTGGAAAAGAGTGGGAGGAAGCCCATTAGGTTCTGTCGCTTTTCCTTTCATCAGGACTTGAATGCGAAATTCTACTTTTGCTTCTGTGCGAGGTTCACGTGACACTGCTCACGGAACATCGGTCTCAACGAACGAGACAATTTGGTGCCAGGTCAGCTGAACTGTTCATTGAGATAGTACGCCCAGCGGTTAAGCTGTTTTTCCCCATATTGCATATCATTTCCATTTTTATCGCAGTCTCACTAAAAGCTTTTCGCCAACCTCCGGTGTTGCGTATTAGTTGGAATAGCCTTTGGCTATCCCCCGATGCAGCGGCTACTTCCGTTCCACTAATTACTGTTGCCCACCAGTTTTCATGGTCTTTCCCGAGGCTCCTCACGAGTTGCTGTTGATATGAATGTTAGAGTAGGTCATCTCTTTTCAAACGAGACACACTTTCAAATTTCGAAATATGCCCACGAACCGCGAACCTCATCTGTATTAAGCATTTGACCCCTGAAGTATGTGCCCAGAAACGTCTTATCCAAGCACTCCATCTCCCCTGGGTTCGCGAACCCACTCCTCCTCTATACCCCCTTGTCCACATACACAAACATTCTCACACAACAACACCGATCCCTCAGAACTGAGTCACACGACCGTCGTGACCCAACTGCAAACCCCGGAAGCACAGATTTGAGAATGCGATGTGCAACACACACACACGTACAAACACAGACACACATACACATTTTATTGTTCTCCTCCCAAACCCTAGGATTTTCCCCCATATAAACTGCAACGGCATGATTATAAGTTATTGAAAACAATTGTTCGCCTGAAATTGTGTTCTAAAAGAGAAACACTTTGTTATGTACTGAATACGAGATGACATCAGTCGGTAGTTGCTCGGGAGAGAGAAAAGATTGAGAGCCCAGAGATGTAAGGCTTTATTCGTCTAACAACCCTGGTATATAGGCTAAAACGTATAAAAGAGAAATGTTATGAATACAGCGATATGCAGTAGACAAAGAGTTTTATATAGAACACACTTAGACGGCCCTTTACGGTTAGATTTCTTCCACTCGAAAAAGTGGGACAACTGTTTAGTTTCTGTTCCGATAATCGCTAGCGCGAACTCCAAAAGCAAGAAATTGCCGATACACCATTTAGAGTTCACCATCTTCGAATCAGCAATACAGTTAGATCAATCATATCGCTTTACGCCAAAATTGGCAGTTTCACGAAAGCATTTTGGTCGTACTGAAGCACACACACCCTCGAATCGAAACACGCATCAGCCCGCACTAACCTACCCAAGTGGTTTGTTTGGCATTTGANTTGAAACGCACTATATAGCGGCAGTCAAACTGCGATAAATTTTTTTAAGTAGTACGGTTAATCTTCTTTCGAGACACTCTCGGAGAAAAGCTGGAGCCAAACCCGTCTGATAACTTCAAGCAAGATTGGTCGCTTGTCAAGCATGCCCTGCATTCTATTGTCCTAGTGAGTCATGTTCTGATGTGTTGAGTCCTAACACCCTGGAATTCCGATGGGTCACTGTGCCTTCTTGATACACGCCGATCTATCCCAATTAGCGGCGAGCACAACAAACCAGGACTCGTAACGAGACGTGAACTCGACACAAGCCAAGTAAATCCTATGAACTCACCGAACTTTACAAATGGAACATCCAAGTCATCCAAGTCACCGGTAGGAGAACTATGTCTATATGAAAAACAATCTGTGGAGGTGGTGGGTTGTCCATCCATAGTCAACAGTAACTTCTTGAACTCTCGGTGGAGCACTGAAGGCATCGTTTAGCTATTCATCAGGGTCGGCCTCTGTCACAGTTACTCAGACACATCCCATGATCTATCTGTGGCAACACGCAAAGAGATACAAGCTCAAGGACTTAACAAAGTGATGGGCTCTGATCGCCTTACCCCAGATGCTATTAAAATTTGTACTGTATTGTATTTCATTGTAATGACTTGTGCAGGCAACTGTGTCTACATTTCAGTTAAAAAAGTGTTCACTGTTACAATGGGATAAAATAGTTATGTACAACAATGATAAACCTTAAACAGGAGTTCATCTTTGTAGGTTTCAAATTAAGTCGTTTCGGATCTCCACTTTGACAGTGAGGATACGAGCCGGATAGTTGAGTTCAGTTTGTACAACCATTAGCTGTGCACTTTGGTGGACCAGTTTTGGCTGCAAATTTGGATGAAACAGTGGGACAAAGAGAGGAAAAAGCTGTTGATCCAACCTGAACTGTTTAGACGTACAGTTTACAGTCGCCTACTGCCTGGATTCCAGTCAAGAATCGAGCGCTCAGCCTTGACACTGACCGCAATCCCAACAATCCCAGCAACACTCCGAGTGTAGGAGGCCAAATCGCCTGACACACGAACGGTGAAGCGTGAGATTGGTGCGGGATCAGGAGGACGCATGGAGATAATTGAAGTGGGGTCTTGTATGCGTGTTTCGGAGACACAACATACATCTAAATTGAACGCCTCAAGGGTTCTAGCTAGGGCAGCTTGTTGACTAATCTGATAGTGTGCAGACATTTAACACGGCTAAGTGAAAAGGGAATTCGGGCTACAAAAAACCTATAACTTCTAACTCTTTGGTCTTGCTGGTAAAATGCCGTGTGATATCCGATGGGTCTCGTAAAAAAGAGACATCTGGGATCACTCGTTATTAACAGGAAGAACTAGACAGATGGGAAAGGATTTTTCCAAATGGGTGCCCAAGACTTTAGGGCACGACGTATTTCGCGGCAGACCACACCGACGAAGGGGTTTTTCTTTGGCAACCCTAACCGGAAACTTTGACTCAAAAGTCTGACCCGACGTGGAAGCGTGAATGAAGCACTCGTGTGGGAGATTCTAAAGACCTGTCACGCAAGACCTTCGGGTTTCGGTTCAGTTTATTGTTCGCTGATGCGTTCCTTTTCAATCCGTTGTTCGGGATTGGCTCTTAGTCTCATGCATCCAATCAGACAAGCACAGTGTAGATGAGATGGCACCTTACTGGCTAAGCGTTGTCCAGCTTGGGTGGGCGGTAGCTGTCCAATGAAGTGCGAAGACTTCTCCCACCGTTGAAGGGAAGCCCCAGGTTCCTCGCTCCTACATTGATCTAGCGGGAGGTTTTGACCGGTAAACTACCCTTCACTTTATGTATTTGCTCGAGTGACCTCTCCACGAGCGAGTGTGGATAGTCAAAGGAAGCCAGGTGCCCAAGCAGGTGACCTTGTGAGACTGAGCTTTGTCTGGTCCCTACCCAAGGACGCTTCAAGCATGATTGGATCTGCGGCTGTGATAAGTCATCCTGTATCGCTCGCAGGATCATGGAGGCAAACCAGCTATCACATCACGTCAAGGTGCAGTCTCGTCGTGATAGGCTCTTAAAGATAATGGAATAAAGCTGAATAATGAACAGGTGGCTCCGTTCTCCTAAGTGTTGAACAATGAGCAGATCCCCTCCTTATGAGAGGAATCGATCATCGACCCCATGTTCAAAAACCGCCCACGTGGTGACTGCACCAACCATGCGGATATAAGCCTGATCTTGAGAGCATGAACGTTTTCCGCGTCTATTATTCCTCATAGATTGTACAATATACGTGAAGAGCAGGCCGGCGTGTAGGCTGGACTTTGCACCGGTCGTGGATACAACGATCGAATCTTACCATCATCGTACAGCGTAATACAGTGAAGCGAATTTCGCTGATCGATGCCAGACTTATAACATGTACAAAGTTCTTGATAATGTGTAAGGACGGTAGGGAAAGGGCCTATTTTTAGGGACGAGAAAAGAAAACAAACCCCTATAGTCAACACATAGAGTACACAGTCCAACTGTGCATCCGCACTAATTCAAGTATTCTGGTCTGATAAGTGACAGCAAGATTGTCATTACTGTCGGTTTTCTGCATTGGCCTTCAGTTTCTCCAACCATCCAGTTACAGTCTTTTGGACTCTAACCCGGAAGACGAGAGACGCTTATTCTACCTAATCGCTCCGTGCACTCCTTCATGCCTCGTCTCCATGTCATTTTCTGGCCTCCACGTG